ATGTCTGATCCAATCTATAAAGTCCTCTTCAGACTCACAAAACACATGCAATGATGCCGAATGCAGGAGCATCACCGGCCAGTGAGTAAAAATGTCTTTGGATCAGTGGCGTTGTAAGCATCTCAGTGCTGACAGGGGTCTCCACATGGCTTCCCCAGTTCCAAGGGTAGTGCCATGTGTTTTGTCATAGTGCCATGTGTTTTGTCAGTAGAGAGTCTCCAAGTGAGTGAGCCAAGAGTCTGTCTCTTGCCACCAAGGAGGAAATCCAGGAATTCCCAGAATTCTCAAGAGAAAGCCATGCCCCCAGAGAGGCCTCATTGGCTATGATCTGATTGACAGACTAGACTCCACCCATTCACTCTTAATCCTTTCAAGTCCCAAATTGACGCCAGATTATGTAATCACCACACACATGTTATAGCTTTTGCTGCTTTTAGGACTTAACAAGGACAGGGGAGTGATCATCTGTGTCAAAGTTGGTTGAAGTTCAAATACCTTCAGACCTAACAATGAGCAACACCAAGTGACACTAAAAGAGCAGTTTGAGAGGAGTGTGCTGCAATAATTGTATTGGTGTAAATTCACAATTTAGAAAAAGAAAAATAGGGCTATGGGAAAAAGATAACTCGTTAAACTCCTTAGAGGATTCCTGTTGCAGATGTTGGGAGTGAAACAGGGTTGCCAATACGTTGAGAAAAATAGCATGCAGGCCGAACAAAACTTTCGTGAGTCCTAATTTTAAAACCATGGAGAAATACATTGAATGAGAGAGATTAAAAATGAAAACACCACCAACAAAAAGAATCTTAACTTCAGGCTGGATGAGGACCAGAAAAATAAACGGTTGAAGAGGCAAAACCTTTCAATACAGGTGTTTGTCACTGAGTGCCCTTGGGGCAATGTCCAACCACATCCACATCTTTGACCCCTGAGTGTTTGTTTTGTTTTTAAAGGAAAGCAGGTCTCCTTCTGTTTATTATTTTCTACAATGACTTTAAAGACTTTCAGATGAAGGACAATGTGGCATCAGGATTGGATGAAGACTTCTCAACAATCTTTGATATGGATATGACATCGTTCTTGCTGAGAGTGAGGAGGACTTGAATGACTTGCTGATGAAGATCAAGCATATCACCCTTCAGTATGGATTACAACTCAATGTAAAGACCAAAATCCTCACAACTGACCAATAAATACCGTATGTACTCAAGTACAAGCTGACCCGAATTTCAGCTGAGGCACCTAATTTTACCACAAAAATGGCATTAAAAATGTGCTGAAAAACTCGGCTTATACACAAGAAGATGCAGTAACATCCCAATAAATGGAGAAAAGGTTGAAGTTGTCAAGGATTTTTGTCTTGCTTGGGTCTACAATCAATGCTCATAGAAGCAGCAGTAGAGATAAACAGATGTATTACATTAGGTAAATATGCTGCACAAGATTTTTTTAGAGTTTTGAAAAGCAAGGATGTTATTACTTTGAAGACAGAGGTGCACCTGACCCAAGCCATAGTATTTTTCATTGCCTAATATGCATGTGAAAATCGGACATGTGAAAACTGAATAAGGAAGATCGAAGAATTGATGCATTTGAAGTTTGGTGCTGGAGAAGAATATTGAAAGTACTATGGACTGCCAAAAGGACAAACAAGTCTGGTTTGCAAGAAGTACAGCCACGGTGCTCCTTAGAGGCAAAGATGGCAAGGCTTTGTCTTACACGCTTTGAACATATTGTCAGGAGAGACCAGTCCCTGAAGCAAGATATCAAGCTTGGTAATGTGGACAAGGGTGTCTAAAAAGAACATCCTTAATGAGACGGACTGACACAGGAGCTGGCAACAATGGGCTCAGGGACCAAGATGGCACAGGACTGTGCAGTGTTTCCTTGGGTCATGCAAAGGGTCACAACCAACTCGATGACACATAATAACAACAAAAACAAGATGAAATTCTTGCCGCATTGGACTGCAGGTAGGATACAGGCAGGTGAGACAGAGGGCATGGCTTTGGCATGGGCTCTTGAATTTTGTCGTGCAGTCAGGGGGGTGTTGGCTGTTGGAGGGCTAAAGGGCCCATAGTGCCCCTGCTGCTCACGTGGCTGGGATAAAGGGGGAGGGGGGGGGTGGCCAAGCGCTGCTACCTAATCTTTCACTTCCTCTCTGCTTCTGCTGCCCCCACCATTTCCTGCTCCATCAGCAGCCTTAGCAGGGGAGGCAGCATGAAAGACAACCAGAAGTGGGTTCCCATCTGGCTTTAATAAAGTATTTGTACAATGTCCAAGTCACATAATGTCCTACTTCACAGATGTATTGTGGATATTAAAGAGACACATATCTATCTAAGGAGGCTTCAAAGAATTTGTGCAAAAATGGAATTAAAAGATAATAAAATTTTCCCATGAGCTTTCTGAAGCCCTCTTATATACAAAAGTAAGTGAATTAAAAAGGCCAATGATATACAGGTAAGCCCATCATGAACAATACTATCATTAATCCTGGACCCAAGTAAGAAGAGAACTAGATAGAAGGTGGTATGTTTGATGGTGGCAAACACAAATATGTACACTCATCTTTCTATCCTCATTCCTTCCTTGAAGCTTTTAAGTTAGCAAAGGAGAAAGCCAGGCCCAGAGTAACAATCAAGACTTATTAACAGCCTCGAACTCTCAGTGCCATCAAGTAGATGTCAACTCATAACAACACCCTTATAGGTCATGGTAGAACTGCCTCCGTGAGTTCCAAGACTATAACCCTTTATGGGAGTAGACCTGTCTTTCTCCCATGGACTGGCTGTACTGAAAGCCTATTGCATGTTAAGCACTTGGATAGATGAATTCTTGTGTTAACTCTCTTAATCCTCACAGCACTGTAAATTCATGCACAGAAAAATGTATTATTTTGACAAACAACTCTAGGAAGCCATAAAGCCAAATTGGACAATACTCTTCAAGATGAGAAAGACCATCAATTTTTTAAAAGGGATGGTAATCTGATTTGGTTTGGGTTTTGTTGCTGTTTGCCTCCAAGTCAGTTCTAACTCATAGTGATCCTAGGTTCACCAGAACAAAGCACTAGCTGGTCCGGCACCATCCTCACAATGGTTGCCAGGTTTGAGCCCTTTGTTGAAGCCACTGTGTCAGTCCATCTAGTTAAGGATCTTCTTCTTTTTCACTGACCCTCTTAGCAATTTGATTTGTTAGGAGCAAACTATTTAAAGTTGGTTTGAAATGAGTATCCAGAGAAGAGATACAGAAAGGAGTCTATTGAAATAGTTAAAATTGCTATACACTAGTCCTTAAACTAAGGACTATTAAAAACAAAAGCAAAAGCAAGGGGTTTATGTGCTTAATGGACATATTGCTCAATTATGGACTCCCCAGAGATCTCACCAGATGAACTTTTTTGCTGTTTTACAGTAAATATGATCAGCCTCTACTTGAGATTTACATTTCACTATGGGTAACTCCAGATCTGGTGGCATAGTGAACCACATGTTAAACTGTTAACCACAAGGTCGGCAGTTTGAACTTAGCTGCCAACCACTATGCAGAAATATGAGGCTATCTATTCCGTAAACCTTTGAAACACTAGTTGTACCCTGTCTTACAGGGTTGCTAAGTCATAATTGACTTGTGATGGTTGGTTTGGTTTTGAGTTATGGAAACTAACAAATGTTTTCTCCTACAGCCAATTTCCTGATCAAAAACAAGATCTGTTACTATATGTCTCTTTAAGCTGAATTTGTTGGTAAATCAGAACAGGTACAAAAGGTTCTTATTTCCTTACTTTAATGGATTTCTGGAGGGCTGGTGGCATAGTGGTTACACATTTCTTTGCTAACTGCAGTATCAGTCAGTTCTAAACCAGTAGGCATTATTCAAGACAAAGATGAGGCTTCCTATTCCTGTAAATTACAGTCTCAGAAATCCGTACTGCCAGGTCCTCCCTGTACTACAAGGTTGCCATGAAGCAGAATTTACCCCATAGCAGTGAGTCTTGTTGGGGCAGTGGGTTTAATGAGCTCTGATGGCACTGTAGGCTTGAAGCTGTCGGTTCCTGTAAAGATTTACAGGCCCAGAAATCTTATCTAAGGCCACCGAGTCATCAATGGTAGTGGGTTTTTGGAGTTGGTTAATGAGTTAGGTGTTGCACAGCTATCAGGTCAGAAGTTCAAACTCAGTAGACACTTCGCAGGAGAAAGGTGAGGTTGTCTGCTCTCATAAAGATCTACAGTCTTGGAACCTCTATGAGGGTGGTTATGAATCCTCCCTCTTTCTCCACCTTCTGAGTCAGTAAGATAAAACTTTGGCAATATTCTGAAAAGAAACCTTCACTACCTGATCCTCTATGCCGCTGACTTGTATATTATCCCAAAAATCATGCAAACATGACTGAGTCACAGTGTTGTCCATCAAAAAATTGCCAAGGGATAAAACAGAATTGAGGGAAGGGAGCCCAGCCTAAAAAAATTAGTAAAATTAGACGAAACTAGAAAAACATTGTACTAGTGATTAAAAGAAAAAAGCATGTGTTATTTTCTCTGATCAGTGACTGCTCTAAGAAAAGGTTAGTTCCTTTCCGTTTACAATTACAGAAAGTCTCTCCAGATTCCAAGAGTTTCAGAGCCCATGGAATCGAGTTTGCAAAAACACTCGCAGGAAGAGCAGGTGTTAGAACTGATCACACAGCGTACCCAACACAGTCCTCCAGATTTAAGTGGAATTCTAGGCTAGCCACAAGCAATCCAAAGCATATCGAATGCGCTTTACATTCCCAGGATTCCCTCAGGAGCCAAAAGGCAAGCCCTTATGCCTAGCAGATGAAGCCGGGAATTCTGGTGACCCAGCAACCAGAGGAAGACCAAGAGCTCACACATCAAGCCACGTAAACTCCAGACACTAGTGAGTTCTTGGGGGGAAATAACAGGGACTAAAAGCAAAAACAGCAAGAACACAGCCAATTACTATTACTTAGAAGCAGCCCCACTTCCGGAACCTACCTCCCAACGACTCCACTTCCGGTCTGCTCCAATATGCCCGCTTCCACGGAGGATGTTCAGCAGCCAATGAGAAATACCAACTGTTTCCGCCGGGCCGCGTGACGTTGATTAGGTCCTACCTCTTCCTGGAGGAAAGAGCCTATCCTGGCGTCGGAACTACGCATCCGGGCGGGGCTTCCTTGTCCGGCCCAACCAGACGGCGAGAGAGAACAAGAAGGGCAGGAGGGGCGTGCACGCCTTTTCCGCCCGGGGCCCGGAAGGGTGATGTGGCTGGGGCTTCGCCGGCCTCACTATGGTAAGCACCCGGGCTGTGGGGTCGCGACTTAGCCAAGGGGGCTCATCGGGGGCTGAGGCTGGAGGGTGGGGGGGATGACCCTGCATACGCGGGCCAGGAAGCCCGTCATTAGCTTGGTTCTCCTGGGGCTCGGAGGGTGCCCGGGCCCCCTGGCCATGTGGCCCGTGCACGGCCCCCCTGGGAATCAGTCTCCGGCCCAAGGAAAAATCTGGGGTCGCGAGCCCGGCCCTTCCCGCGGAGACTGCTTTCCAGAAATACGCCGGTTTGGCTTAGCCCATGGATTTCATAGGTTCTCTGTGGTTATTGACCTGGAGCTGGAAGTTTTTGTATTTTGTTTATTTGTTTTGCGTCTTTTCATCTCTCTTTCCAGATTGGACATTGTTGCTTGTTTGAGCATGGTATCGCTCCAAACTCCTCACCTCCATTCCCTCCACCCCCCTGGCTCTATGTCCTTTCCAGGCTCCTCCGCTCCCGTTCTCGTTACCTTAAAGATATACAAACTGTAGGTCTTTGTGACTGGGATTCCATGCAGAGGTGGTTTTCTCTTGTGGAAGCTTATCGTGACTGGAGTGGTTGCTATGGCCTTGGTTTCTTGGCACCCCCCTCGCCCACTTTAAGGCGGGTGTGTATTTGCTTTTACTGCAGATGTCTTTGCTAGTTAAGTCAGAAAAGCTTGAGCCGTAGGTAAATCACGAGAGTTCGAGAAAATAAATTCTTGTGCCCCCCTCCTGAGAAAAGTTGGAAAACCCAACTTGCCCAGAGGGAGATAAGTCGTCACAAAACTCACTGCCAACGAGTCGATTCCAACTCTTAGTGACTCTGTGGGACAGAGTAGAACTGCCCGTGTGTGCTTCTGAGGCTCTTTACAGGAGCAGAAACCCTCCTCTTCCTCACTTGGAGTGAATGGTGCAGTCGAACTCCTACTGACCTTTTAGTAGCAGCCCAACGAGTATGTGCCACCAGAGACCTTGAAAACCAAAACAAACGCATTGCCATTGAGTTAATTCCGCTTATACCAACCCTATATGACAGGGTAGAACTGCCCCTGTGGGTGTGGGAGACTGACTGATGGGAGTAGAAGGCCTCATCTTTCTCCAGTGGAGCAGCTAGTACTTTACACTGCTGACCTTGTGTTTAGTAACTCATTGTGTCCCACTACCAGTATAAAATCCCCAACCACAGTGCCCAAAAGCCATGACCCTTGTTATGGTAAATATCTACAGCCTTTAGGTGAGCTTAAAACTTTCATATGCCAAATACTGCGTTTATGAGCATATTTCTGGGAAAAGGAAGCATGCTTTTTAACATGTGTCCAAAAACAGCTATGTCTCCAAGAAAGCCAAGACTCACTATTACAAGTGAAAAGTTGCTAAGCTTATGTTGCTAGAAATTCCTCCAGAACCTCATACAGCATAAAATCCTTAGATACCTAATCAGAAACTCACTGTTGCCTGTTTTTGTGGCTGAGAGAAGTTTACCTTCTCATAAACAAATGGTCAAGTTTGGGCAGATTTCTTTCTCAAGCTAAGGAAATCATTCTCTTGTTTCACCTTCCTTCTACAACATAAGATTCTGTTACTTAAAAATGTTGACTCCCTATTTTAAAAGGAGCAGGGAGATTTAGCCTTAAGTCTTAAATCATCTTAGAAGCTGCAGTTGAATTATTTTGCTTCTTCATAGCACAAGATGAAGATAATATTACTCTCCTTACAATAATATGTACTAGTAAAGGCAATACATGTATTATGTTTGCAATCAACAGCATATCAAATGTCTTGCCATGTCTTTTCAAGTGAAAATTATAACATGCTTATGGAGCACTTAAGGAAGGAAGACACAAAGGCTGAATCACCTGTAGTCACACACTTAACAGGGAGTGAAGCCAGGACTCTTTCTTGGTGTCCATATACCAGAAATTATGCTACTATCAAAAATAAAAGTGGTAAAGATAAAGATGTATTTTTAATTATAAGATGGGGCAATCAGATGCACATGAATGATGGAAACAGTTCCCAAGTGATAAATTTCTCTTTTTCACTCTGTTCTGAATTTGGGGCATCAGCATTTTGGAGAAAATGCACTGTAGCTGGAAGAGCGACATAGCAAAGCTTCAAGGATTAATTGGCAGTTTAAAAAAATGAAAATGTGTATGTGAGCTTGCACCTAGACTTACATGTTGCAATACCTCCATGATAATGACTACCTCTTCTGACATCAAGAATTCTTCCCATGGCACTCTACTTTTCTGCTGGCTTCAATAATTTGTTTCAATGGTCACACAGAACTCAACAAGCAACAATCTCAATTAGGAGGGTTTATTAGGGAAGTTAGCAAGTTACCACAAACCAGGATCAGAAACATTAAAAGGGCCAAAAAATACTCAGGATACAGTCATTGGTCCATAGCAACGCCTCTCTTCAGCTAGTAGCCAAGTCTCTTTCTGGTCCTCAGTCCCTTGGTATCTGTGGGCCAAGAAGACCTGCAGGTACTCTATCTCACTGTCTCAGCACTGCCCCGCTGCTCTGTCTCATGGTCTTCTTATCTCAGCCTCTGTATTCAGCATGGCACAGTCTCCTACCTCCACCAGTTCAGGCAGGGAATTTGGACATGTTTTTTGGGGGGCTTTTCTTTAAGAGGCCCGGGAATGCCTCTGCTGAGGTAGTTCTCATCTACACAGAAATAGCCACCAAGGCTCATCTGTATTATAGTGTTTTAACACACCCTACTTGCATGGCCCCACCCAATCATTGGATGGGGATTAACAGAAGGAGGATAAAAGAGCCATATTAAGAAATATCAATTTCTAGAATTACTTCCAGTTCTTTTCCTTTATTGATTAATAATCTTGAGAAAGCTTATCCTTTTTGCTGTGTGTTATTTTTTTCACATAATGCTTACAAACATTGCACACTAGTAAGTAATGCCCACATTATATCGCTAAACCAAGTATGTGTAGTGTCCCTTCAGAGATAGGTTGAAAAAAAAGTTGATAGCACAGAGGAACTAGCAGTTCTGCATGGGAAAATAAAAGCACTCGCAGCTGTAAACCACCACCACCCCCCAAAAAAAGGAACTTGGCTGCCTAAGTGTGGCTGAAATAATTAAACAGGTGGAATAGTGAGCGATGACCCCAATCTGGAAGGGAGCTGTGCCTTACAAAGGGATTTATACAATGGCTTTCCAGCAAGGGAAAACTCCAGGACAGCATTTGGAAACCACCAGTTGCTCTGAGGGAGAAAGATGGAGGTTTTATGTTCCCATGAAGATTTACAGCCTCAGAAACACAAAAAGGGCAGTTCTGCTTTGTCCTGTAGGGTAGCTGTGAATCAGAATCAACTTGATGGCAGTGGGTTTCAGTGGGGGCCAAATAAAAGGTAGACATTTTATAACACTAGCTGGTAACACTATGGAGGGCATCTTCAAATAGAACATTAAAACCTGGAAGACCCAGTTGGAAACAATAAGCCAAGTTGCAAATGATTGGGGGTCCCCAAGACCACATTGCCTATCGATAATGAAGCTAAGGTTTAAACCAATTGTCCTCTATTTGTTAGCTAAAACCTTTCCCTTTTTACTACACAATAGCGCCTTAATTCCAGAGAGGATTCAAGAGGAAAAGGATGGCTTATGTGATTGATGGGTGCTGGTTAAAATGGCAATCCCTTGTACTCACCACTGCTTTTGCACCTCAATGCAAACGACAGCCCATTATCTTCACATAAAAATGGTTTTGACCTAATGAACCCCTAAAAGGTTCCCATAAAGTAGAGCCACAGCCTTTGGGCTAATAGGAACCGGGAGTTGGTGCAGATCCTCTCTAAACTCATATAGGTAGTGGTTTATAACCCTTATGGTATGGTGCAAACTGCCTGAGAGCTTGTAGAAATTATAAATGCTCAAAAACTCACTGAGAGTTATTTCTAGGAACGAGGTCTTGGCACTGGACATTTTCTAAAGCTCCTAGTGATTTCTAATGGGTAACCAGGCTTCATACCATGGTGTACTAGCTTGAATTCCGTTCCATGCCCTCCCTGGGATTCAGAACGTGACCTGCTTGCAAACAGGGTCATAAAGATGTAATTAGTTAAGATCCCAGTCATACTGAAGTAGGATAGGCCCGTAATCGATATGGTATCTTTATAAGAAGAGAGACATAGAAGATGGTTAAGGAATGCCAGACAGATTGGAGTCACACTGCCAGAAGCTGGAGAAGGCCAGGAAGGATCACGTAGAAGCTCTGAAGGGAACATGACCCACGTATCAGACTTGCTTTCAGACTTCTAGCCTCCAGATCATTGAAAGAATGAATTTCTCTCTGGAGCAACCTAATTTGTGTTAATCTGTTACATAGCCCTAGTGAAAAAAACACAAAACCAGGGTCCTCTTTTTGATGACAGACTTACTTGGTCTTTGTCAGAATAGTTTCTCCTAAGTATTCATTAACAACATGCATTTATTTCATTTTTATCTCTTTTTAATCATAAGTATATGTATGCCTTCTCTTACTGATATTTTTGGCGCCTTATTGCCTTATACAGAAATGGCATTTTCTTGTACTTCACAGGTACTGAGTTTTTACAAATAGAAAGTTTGTGGCAAGCAAGTCTCTTGGGGCCATTTTTCAACAGTATTTGCTCACTTCATGCCTGTGTCTATCATGTTATTAGTGTTTATCATGTTATTAGTTCTGACGGTCCTCAGAGTGCTTGTGCACTATTAACAGACTAAAGAATGGACATAACTTTTATTTGCACTAGGAAACTGTATTAGGCTTGGTTGACTAGAGAAACAAATCCAGTGACACTCATATGTGTAAGAACTTTATATCAAGAAATAATTGTATGTCAGGAAGACATCCTCACCCAGGCCAACTCAAGTCCATAAGTCTCTCTTCAAACTCAGCCTCACATGCAATGATGCAGAATGCAGGAAGATCACAGGCCTGTGGAAGCAAAAGCTTGTGGATCCAACGGCTGTGGTTCTGGCAGCTATCAGGGTCA